ATATATATATAAATTCTGATGTCTCACACAATATAAATAAATATATATATATATATATATATATATATATATATATATATTGCAGTTAATTTGTAATTTTATATCATTCGAGGTTAACTACATTGATTTGTTTTGGAATTTGCAGGTACAGCATGGATCTTTACCGTGATGACTGGAGCCCGAGGAGCGCCACGAGTGCCTCCTCCTCGTCGCCACCTAGCACACCGCCCTTGCCACCTTACTCCGATTTCAATGCAGATATTGATGATCTTAAAGATGACGTTTACAGTCCGGTCTACAGCGATAAGGAATGCGATGACGAAGGTATGACATCGTCTTTCTTTATTAGTATCACTGACATAATTTTCTTATTTTTGTTACATATTATCTGAAGCAATCAGAAGTTCTTGAACGAAGTACATCTAGATTCAAGTTATTCGTTTAAATTAACGCTTCCACACGTTTTGTTGCAGACGAAGAAGGTGCGTCCCCTCGAAGCTACAAATCACTAACAACTGTCGAAGCTGATTCTGATTCCTCCTCTCTCAACTCCGAGACGTTTTCGGAAACGAGTGCTTGCGAGTACTATACGCTATTGCTACTGAGTAAATTGAGCTTCTCTATTAAGCCTGTCGACAAACTGGCCGAATCCACGACCATCAGATCGCTAATGAATTACATAAAATACGCGAAAAAGCAAAACCTCCTAAAAGACACTGCGATCAAAATATTGATAAGGATCATAGGGTAAGATTTCTCAAATTGCGCGAACCTCGTGTTTGCGCACTTGTTTGCATTTTTGTTATTTGTCATCTTTAGAAAAATATTCACTCGCATTACGCTTACGTTTGTACAGAAACGCGGCGTATTTCATGCCGTTGCTGAAGCAAGGATTCGTGTTCTTGGTGTTCGAGATGCTGACGCTGCCGGAAGCGGAGGAGTGCGTGCGACATTTGCGCACAGTGGCGCAAACGGGCGGCGCCATCGGGCAGCTGTCGTTTACGTTGCTGCGCGACGAGGATGAGTACAAGCTGCTGACCGCGGTGTCGATTCCGCTTCTCGTCAAGTCGCATTTCACGCTCAGGTCCTTGCTGAAAAAGCACGAGGGACTGCAGCTGATATTCCGTCTGCTAACGGACTCGTCGCACAAGTTGCACAAGCGGGCGATCTGGTCGATCTGCCAGTTGACGAAGACACTCTACCCGGAGGACTATTACTCGACCGCTAAAACGACGACGATAAAAGCCAACGAGACAGATCCTACGAAATCGTCGACGGTGACATTCGAGCTGGACGACGGCACGGCCGTTACGGCTTGCAAGCAAATGCTGTGCCAGCACTCGCCCGTCTTCTCCGCCATGCTGGAGGGTAACTTCAGCGAGTCGAACAAGAGACGAATACGACTGAGGGACACGTCGCGCGACAGCCTGAAGACGCTGATACTGGCGATGAGCGGCGCCAAGTTCGAGAATCGAAGCATCGAGTCGCTGCTGAACGCCGTGCTGCTGGCCGACTATTTTCTCATGCCGGACTTAGTGGACCTGTTAACCGAGAACTCCGTGAGTAAGCTCAATCACGAGACCTTATTCCGAGCCTGGGACTGGGCCAGGAGCCACTCCTGCCACGAGTTCAGATCTTATTGCGTCAAGAGATTTCTGACCGCGAAAATGTCGTGGAGTGAAACGATGCGGACGTTCCGCGATTTCTACACCGCCAATGCCTTCGACGAGTTCCTACGCGAGATCAGGGACATAATCACGGACGTGTTGTGCCAACAGAACGTTAAACTCTGCGAATGCTAACTCTTTGGGCTCTAAGATAAGAATAGAGTAAACGCGGCTTGTTAAATCATTAATTTGTGTTTACTCTGTTCTGCGGAACCTTTCAATGGGAATTCTTTGCATAAGCTTGGTGCATTTCTAATTGCGTGATTTTTCGATAATTATACAAGGCATCTCTGAAAGAAAATGGTTTCTTTTTTAATAGACGTGATAGAATAGTATAAATGGAGTGAAAATATTTTATCAATATAGTATCGAAAATATTTAATCAGATAAATGTTATAACAAGTTTTATGCAATACGATCATTTTCTCTTATGTAAAATTTAATTTGTTATAAAAAGATTATCCTGTCTCTTGTGTATCTGCAGCACAATAATGTTACTTGCATCTATAATGAATTGCCAAAAATTGACTTTCCATTGGGTTTGTATAAAATATTTGCCTTATTGCATTCAAAAAATAAAATTCAATGGTGACAAATCTGATAATCGAGAAGGCCAAGTAATTGAAATGCAATAAATATTGAGTCTGTGATATTTTTGAAGCTCATCAGAATGTAATGTTATTAAATATTAGACGTTGACATACATTTGATAGTTTCTTTAATAATATTTATCTCATTAGATATGCATTTTCGATACTGTATTAACAGAGACCATCTTTTTCAGAGACATTTTGCATGATATATTTGCTTGTAATTATCGTTAAAAATACCTCCCGTTATATACAATATATTAATTCTGTACATATTCTAACATGTTCCAAGCATATTTCAAGTATTTGTACATAATACAGATAACGTAGAATTACTTATAAAATCATCATCTTCCATGTATTAATGTTTTTTTCGTATTTAAAAATATACAATAAATTCTGTTTATGAAATATCTCGAAGATATTAGTTTGTATCAAGCAATATATAAATAACAGACTTAATTAAGCTAATATTAATTAAAACAGAATTACCAAATTTTTTACACGAAGAATCAAGAAGTAATAAATACTGCAGCTTCTAAAAATGAGATATCTCGATAACGATGCATTCTCGGAAAAATTCTACTACAGGAAAAAGATACGTGATTTTTTTTGATAAAGATAGTACGATAGTACACCAATACACGAATGTACACAGAATACCTTATCTCTATGGAACACTCTGTGTATGTTTTTGAACGCGTGAATATACGCATTCAAAAGACGCGTATTTTTTTAATAAAGAATACGATAGTACCGGTTTATACAAAAATCCCTACGGAACACTCGGTGTATGTTGTAGCGCGTACATCTACGCGTTCTGCAACTATAATAAATTATATATACAATTTCATTTCGTGCATCGCGTCATTAATAAAATTGCCATTGATCGTTTTTCCGTAATCTGTTTAACGTCCTCATCATACTTTTCTATCAATCAGCTTCAGCTTGACCGGCTCCGATGGCACGGAGATCAAATGCAAAATCATCTTGATCCTGTCCTGATTCTCGCACTCAATCTTGAAGTTTTTAATGATCTACGGAGGAAACAATATACGGCTGTAGTCATGAGTTGCAACTGATTGCACGATTGACGGCTCACCTGCGCCAACGTAAGTGACAATTGCGTTTCCGCGAGTCTGCGGCCGATGCAGTTTCTCAAGCCTACCGCGAATGGGATACTGGCACGCGCGTCTTTCACTCCCTGATAGTGGAGTGAATCCTCCCCCGTTTTGATCCACCTTTCTGGCCAGAATTCGTTAGGTCGTGGAAAATTGTTCTCATCCCGGGCGCTTGAGTAAAGCGATAAGATAATTAATTCCTAGAAAAAAAAGGTATCATCTCTTTTGGTTATCGTACTCGCTATTGACAGAGTGTTTTGCAAATGGGCTTTCTGTTAATTTTACGCAACAATTTCTTTTTACCCCTTTTGGCACAAAATAATCGCCAATTGTAGCATCCACTGGTAAATATCTCGTAAGGAATGGCGCGACGGGATACAACCTCAGGGCTTCCCTCCAGGTGCTCCTCAACAGCTGATGCTGCAGAAGTTCCTCCAGTGGCAAGTCCTTGATGTCATGAAATAATTTATCCTGTAGCTCGGGATGACTACTGAGCAACAGCAATGTCCATTGCATGGTAACTGATGTCTAAATAAGCGATCGCAGAAAATTACTATTTTACTATGCAGAAATTTTATCCCCTCGCTTTAATTATTGACAGAATATAAAACATCAATTGCAATATATTGATTCAAATTTTAGAAATTGACTTTTTCTCGATCAAAATTACGATTAAATTAAAAATGTTGGGAAGGAGATAAATTTTTTTTCGTAAAAAGTCTTATAAATTGGAAAAAATTTGTATTTAAAAATTGGAAGATGGACTATGTTTTTTCTCTTTGCTAAATTTTGATTAAATTATAGAACATTCCTGTATATATTGACAAATTAATAAACATACTGTGTCGCCGGCAGCTGTGATGAAATCGGTGACGATTCTGCTGGTTTTATCGTCGCGAATACCGTTATTTATCATCATCTGCAGAAGACCGTCATCGCTAAACTGGATTATTTCCGGCACTAAATTGCGCACCCTGTTCAGCACCGTATCGACAGTATTAACGAACTTGGTCCACACTGGCAATTTGAACTTCATCGCCATTCTGGCCGATATCATCGAGAGACTTGCGGAATACACAAAAATCTTGTGTACCATTGTCGCCACGTACTCTATCTCAGAACGTAACCGCGGCTCGCAATCCCGCCATTGCGAACCTATCATAACCGCCAGCATCACTATAAAAGGATCAATATATCGGTCAGCACCGTTATTAATCGCGAAAAATCGTTTAAAACAATTTTACGCGGTCAACGAGTGCGCGTAATGATACATTGCGTGATACAACATTACTTAATCAATGATATAATTTAATGTTAATTGCTACTAAGAATTCTCTTTGTTATATATGTGATAGCTCTCAAAGTTTACCCTCGATAGACCACTGATACAGCTCATGCTCCAAGTTTGGTATTATACGACCCGCCTGACTGTACGTTTTCCATTTTCTCGTTAGATTTTCGGCGACTTCCTGGCAAGGCGTGCACAAAAAAGCCTTTGGATCAGGCTTCAACATCACTTTATTGAGGATTTTACGATGGTGCCACCACTCTTCCCCGTCCCTATAGCGCAACGTTTTTTCATTATCAAACTTATTTTACAAGTTCGAATTATTTCGTTGAGAGGAAAAGAATTTAGACGAGTAAAATGTTCAATTTCAATTAATAAAGGACTACTTAAAAAAAAAAAGTAAAATTTTCATTCTATACAAGAGCAAATTTTTCGGTGAAATGATATTATTTCATATCATATCTCATTGCAATTCCATTACTAATATCTAATATAATTTTTATTATTTTATTATAACAGACTTTTTCGAAAGGATAGCATACCGGTGCGAGAGAACGTCATACGTACATGAAGAGCAGACCGCGGTCCTGCGCTCGGATTTCATTGTACAGCATCCAGGCTTCCGGCAAGAAGTGCTCCGGCGTGGATCCTGCGAGATCGACTAATATCTTACGATATTCATTAGGCGAATTAACGAAAACGGCCCGCAACGGTCCAATCTGTTCCCTGTAGACCGGTCCAAGTTCTCGGTGCCTCTTGTCCACGTATTCGTTCAGCTTTTTCGCGCCACCGGCCATTAGCAGGGATAACATCGTGCCGAGAAAGGGGAGACCTTGCGGCTCGGGTGGCTCCTTCCTCCTCGCCAAAGTGCCGAAATCTCGCGCGAACGTTCGCGATAACGCGGAGTTTCTTATCAAGCCTTGACCGGCGACGTTCCACGAAGGAGGAGGAGGAGGAGGAGGAGCACCATCGTTCTCGCTCAGCATCAAGAGCCGCGGATCGGATCCAACGATCGCTCCGCGCGTGGTGAACGAGATGTTGAAGTCGTCGCGGTGGTTCAACGACCTCGCGAATCTTCGTAATGCTCTTCGCGTGGCGTGCATCTCTCCGGCGATACTGGATGTACAAGTGCGAGAGACGGGGAGTGTGCAGCTTCGCTGTCAACGAGAAATCAGATCGTAATCGTATCGAATCTGATACGCGTATACCGATTCAGCGCTTCGCGATTCAGCAATTTTTCTTCAAGTCGACGAGATTATTACAAGACAAATAATGTATGCGCAAACGAGGATAAGCAAAATGGGAAGCGAAAAGAAAACATCCGTTTAACGTATCGCGCGATATTTAATTCTATTGTTTTGAATATTAAATACATTATTATTATTATGTAAATACTGCTCTTTAGCTCGCTTAAATAATAACGATGTAATATAACGAATTCGTTGTTTTGAACTTGCTAAACAAGATTTTGTCATCCGGATACCATGTATCATGGTATATCTAGATATCGCAAACATATTTTCCCCCTTTCGAGCTGTCCTAACATAAATCATTACGCGCGCTAAAAAAAAACGCGTCATCAAGAGATAAAAAGTGCAGCTAATTAGAAAACAGGACGATGTAAGTGAAATGATATTGTGCGCGCGCGGTCGATTTTAATTTCGAGATTAATTAAGAAATATAATCAAGAGGTTCCAATTAAGACTATATTATAAGCATAAATGAGGAACCGTGGAATAGAGTCTTTATCTGGATAAAAATAAATTTTTATTTAATATTCAACGAAATGATTTTTATTTAATATTCAATGTATAAATTGCACTATATAGAATATTTAATTTTGTTGAAACAGATGTAAGCTTATATTTTTTTTGTTATAATTCGAATATAATAAAAAATATTCTTTGTTAAAAATATGAAAGATCAATTAACGTGTAATTTTTACTCTAAGAGATTATTTCTTCTAATAAGTAAAATTATTGCAATAGCGATATTAAATTTAGACAGCCAATATGTTCACACCAATATGTATATATGAACTGTCAAGAAGAGATGATCTCTCTCACGCGAGCAGCGATTGCGTCGACGGACCAAATCTCGAGGTGCAACATTAATAATAATACACTACTCTTTTTAGTCCACTTTATACTTTTTCAAATACACGTGTAATTCATCTAATTTCAGTTTTGATATTAAACGATTGTTTTCTTTTGTCTTTAAATTATACCAGAACTTCGTTCGACTTGCAATCGATCTTTCCGTCATCGTGATACATCGAATTCACGTCAATTTATTTAACTAAATTACAAAATAATCCTAAATAAATCCTAATCAGCGGCAAGCTAAATTTAGTTCGCCCCATGATAAAAAAAAAAGAACGCGGCTCGCGAACCGGTTGCCAGTTCAAAAAGATCGTCAAGGAGAACGTTAATAACACAATAACATAAACTTATATACACACCAATATTTGATTTTAATTAGCTCCTCTTCTTATTTCGTTATATTATATCGCAATTGTCCAGTTATTAGCAGCGACGCTTCATCGTGTATAGCGAATGTTGCGTATTTGAAAACTGAGACTCGCGTGGCTCCTCCGTGCTCTCTCCTTCCGTTATACCCAGTGTCTGGAGGCTCGTATGAACTCGCGTACGTGCCGAACTAACAAACTATATATGCTCGATTCCCGGGGGTCAAACTGTCGAACTCGCTTGGCGAGCATCCCGATCCTCACTAGCGCGCATGCGGCAACTCCTGGTTGCCCGCGGTGGCAGACCGGCCGGAAGCGGAGCCGACCGGAAGCGGTGGCGAAGCGTAGTCGAGCGGATCGCGAAGACCTCCTGCCTGCCATGCGACTGGACTCGCGACAGGGAATGCAGCAGGAGATCGGGTACCGTTATCTGGAATCGCGTCGCCATTCTATCCTTCTCGTCTTGAATTAGAGGCGCGATCAAATAATCCGCTTCCTGGGTTTCCTGTATGACAGGTAATTATATAAGTCATCATTAATCCGTTAAGCTGCACGTTCGAATTAATTCCACGGTATATATATATATATATACATATATATATATATATATATATATATATATTATATATTCTCAGCTGAGTGTGATTTATCTTTTTTTTTAACAGAGAAACGATTTTGCCGCGATAATCGCCGCTCGGCTCGCGTGGAGTCGCTGAAATTTCCTTGTTAGGATAAAGGCGATCGGGTATATACGTTTAAAGCGTCTCACCTTCGACACCGGGAAAAGAAAGAGAAGAGAATTCTTCTCTCCGAGAAATTCTAAATCGCCCGGCAAACGCCTATAAATAAAGACGCGCGCATCTGAATGTCAAAATAGCTGAAACGGTCCGTGTCGAGAGCCGAGAGGGAGATACGATCCCGTCGATTACATCCCGAGATATGCTAAGTTTATTCATGCAAGGTAAATCGACTACATCATGGGGTTTTTTATGGAGGCGCCTATATAACGTTCTCGGCCCAGCTCCGACATTTCGGATGCATCTGATATATATGTATGTAAACAAGACACTCTGTCCCGCTCTCTTCCTTTTCCTTCCTCCTCTACTCCCATAATTTCGCCTCTACAAAACAAGCGAAAATTGATGAGGGTTTGTGCGACACGTTTCGAGCTCGATAATCATGCGAGCAATCATTTCAGACAACTCTAGTCCTTTTTTGTAGGACAAAACAGGTTTAATGTACGAGTTTAAAAGTCTCCTTACGTACGTCCTGCGTCGCCCTGATTCGATGTTTTAAAGCGCCATGTGCGATGTGCGTGCGCGTGACTTTTCCGTTTTCTCTTAACTATAATCTCTCCGAATATCTAATCTCCTTTTGGAACCTTCGGACGACAATCTAACGAATAAAATGCAAAATGGATTAAAAATAGAGAGGAAAAGAATTGCGGGCAAAAAAGAGCGGACGCGCCTAACCTGTTCCGTCTCGCGGCAATGACAACCGCGCGCGGCGATTGACATTTCGACATGTTGATCGATAAGTGACAGGCGCAAAGTGATATATTACAGTTGCGCGTTATTGGCAATGAAAGTAATATTTCATGCCCGACCGATCCCGGGGTGTTGTGGCCTCTCCACCGTGCCTCCGCCGACTTTTGCTCCAACGACACCGTTCTGATCCGCAGCGGGATGAAAATCGTGATGATTCGAAAGGAGCGAAGTTCGCAGAGTATCGATATCTCCCGTCTCGATCGGAGGTATCGCGAGACGGGCGCGAGGTGGCGCGCGGCCCCCTTTGAGGTAGAGTTTTGAGGTTCCTTCCCGCAGTTCCCGCGTCGTTCCGCTCGTGCGTGGAGCGGTTCTCCAAAAGTTCTGTCGCGCGCGTTTATCGGCGCGCGACACCTTCGGACGACGCGCCGTTCTCGACACCGGCGTTATCGCGACGGCCGTTATCGCGTCGGCGAGGTGCCTCCGTCGATCGATCGTAACCCCCGTCGGTTATCGGCATCTCCTCGCCTTTACTCGCGCCCGAGTACTCCCGCGCGGCGTCCTCGGCATTCCGTCGCTCGTAGGTGGCCGAGAAACGACGTTCGCCGCACCTGGAGGCCCGTGGAGCTGCACCGCGCTGCACCTCCGTAGTGCGTCCTGCCTCGTCCCTTCCTTTCTCTCTCTTCAATGCGCGCTCGCCGCGTGTCCTGAGGTGCAGAAGGTGCGAGCGAATCGTGAAATCGCTGAAAGAGGGAGAGAGAGAGAGAGAGAGAGAGAAAGAGAGAGAGAGAGAGAGAGAAAGACATCGAGATCGGCTCATCGGACGATCCCACCTGATCTCTGGTGGTCATCCCCAGGTCTCCTCGCATCCTACGATCCCGACGGACGTCGTCTCCACTCGAGACTGAATTCACCGAAGCCTTCCCCTCCCGCCTCTCCTCGGACACGATGGACATCGACGCGGAGACCTGTCTCAAGGACTGGAACGACCTGGCGCAGGACTTCAAGGAACTCGAGGTGAGGATTCCTCGCGTGTCCCGGGACGCCCCCCCCTCCCTCCCCGATCGGAGGTTAGGTCCCGTCCCCTCGCATGATCGCGTCGTCATCCGCGCCGATCTAGAAAAGGAAGAGAGAGAGAGAGAGAGAGAGAGAGAGAGGAGAAAAAATCCGCGGTTTCGGCGGTTTCGCGAATACGTCGTCACGTGATGCTCGCGTGACCTTGACGATAAATCGATCACGCGCGGACGACCTGGCGTGTACTTTTCAATATTAATTAAACCGTTCTGATTGACGATGTTGAATTTTAATAAACGTCAGATGATGCTGCAGAATTTTAATAATAGCGACAATTGCGGCACTCACAATTACTTTTCGGCTTTTCGATTATTTTGCAATATTAGGAGAGCCAAAAAGAAAAGTGAAGCGTGAATCTCTATTTGTAAAGTAAAATACGTATAAAATACAGATATAAATATAAAAAAAAACATAATATAATACAAGGACTAATTAATTAATAAGCAAAAAATAAGTAAATGAGGTCTTTATCAATTAGTTGTGAATCACAAAAAAAATCACGCTTGCGATAAGTGATTGCCACTCATTAATTGATAATCAAGATATTACAAGATATCTCTCTAAGGTTGTTATGTTCTAAAAATATGTTATTTACTTGCAGGCTCTAAATAGGGAATATCTTGTGAAATTAGAAGAAATTGGTGAGCTGCAAGCAAAATGTGTCAAAGGTATCTCCCATCAAAAATACCGGATGGGTGTAATATCCAAGTCCATGAAACAGTAAGTCCACGTAACAGCTTGCACATTTTTCTCAGAAGAATAATTTATTCTAAGATAACTTTGAATTAAATTAAGAATTGAAACTTTAATTATATTAATTAAGAATTAAGAATTGTTTTTACTGATTAATTACTTGGGAAGATATATTGATAAAAATATTTCGAACGTCTGAAATTATAATTTTGATTAAGGTATCATGTGCAATCTGCATGATTTTTATCTGTTTCCAGATTGAATACAAAAGAAGCACGGGAAGAATTGGAAAAATCTATGACGAGGAGAGATCAGCAGCTCAGAGAGATTGAGCAAACGTTACCTAAGCCAAATGGCGTTTACTTACAAATTATTCTGGGCAATGTCAATGTCTCCATATTAAATAAAAACGACAAGTATGTTACTGTTAAGAGTAAAGTCCGAGAGTCATATCCTGAGTATACTTGAGTATAATTTTATGACAATTGTTTTTAGATTCAAGTACAAAGACGAATATGAGAAATTCAAATTAGTGCTGTCAGTAATTGGATTCGTACTGTCCGTATTAAATTTATTTACAAATATAAGGTGAGATACTATTATCTATTCAATCATTATAATCAATGTTGCATCTTTTCTATTTGCAAGCTATATACTGTAATAAAACATTATGTTAGATTATTAAACTTTTATTATCAAATAATATTGTTTACTAAATTTTATTACTATTATTTTTATGTTATCTTAAACTTTCATTATCAAATTATATTACTGTTTACTAAATTTTATTATTACTATTATTTTTATGAAATACATGTACAATTTATATCGTATTTCTTTTTATGTTCCAGGACCTTAGAACTTAGTTTTATGTTTCTCCTTGTTTGGTACTATTGCACGTTAACGATAAGAGAAAGTATACTCAAGGTGAATGGATCGAGAATTAAAGGCTGGTGGAGATTCCATCATTTCCTCTCGACAGTGGTATCCGCTGTTCTACTAGTCTGGCCAAACGCAGGACCGTGGTACCAGTTTCGTAGCCAGTTCATGTGGTTCAACGTGTATATCAGTAAGTATTGTATAATTTTTAGCAAAATATCAAAATTTTAATAGATAAGCCATTAGAATTGAGAACTTACACAACATTATTTTATTTCAACGATGTGTTATAGCTAAACTAACAGCACGCTCATTTCTCAGGTGTAGTCCAGTACTTGCAATTTCGGTACCAACGCGGCGTTTTGTATCGGTTAAAAGCGCTAGGCGAGAGAGACAACATGGACATCACCATCGAGGGATTCCATTCGTGGATGTGGCGCGGTCTCTCGTTTCTGCTGCCGTTCCTCTTCGCCGGCTATATTTTTCAGCTTTATAACGCGTACACGCTGTACGAATTATCGTACCGTGCGGATGCGACGTGGCACGTATCAGTGCTCAGCGCCATGTTTCTCGTGCTATTTCTGGGTAATAGCATCACCACCATCATGGTGATCCCGCAGAAACTCGTCAAGGAACGCATCAGAGATCATCTGTTCGCGTCTAAGCCCGATCGCGGGAAGGAGGCAAGGACACGCGATAAGGACAATAAAGGTGAAAAAAAGAGTGAGTGAAGAAAGAACTCTTTGAATACTTCCGGCTGGTGAAAAGCTCAACTCAGTTGACTTGGAAGATAAATTGGGGGAAAAACAAATTTGCAAAGATAAAATGACTACGCTATAAAGTGGTGTTGGTGCTGGCTCTAAAACATAACGAACAGTACTTTGTTGCGTTGAGCAAAGGTGAATTAATAACACATATACACATACATATACACGACGTGAGCGACTTTGATCATAGATGGAAAAGTTCCCGCGTATTTTTATTTACTTTACTCTTGGATAAAGTCCATTCTCAAGTGTTCTCGAGAATATTCTTTGTACTCTTCAACCGTCCTGAAATAAACTTGCCTAATTTCATCAATAGATTTCTCAATAAATTTTAACCGATTTTTTTAAAGGAGAAAATACCCATAAAGATATTCGTCTTCTGTTTTATTTTTCAAAATTAAGAATCTTCTTTCTAGGCAGAAATTATGTTTGATCTGTTTGAAATCAATTGAATATTACCACTTAACTTTTTGCCTTATTTTATTCTTGTGAAAAACATTCCTTCATTTTAAATTCCTAATTAAACGTGATTATTTGTTTCGATATAATTTAAATGTTTGGATTGAAGAAAGTCAATTTAAGATTACTCAAAGAGTCACATCACAATATGTTCTGTTTCATTCCGCATCCTGCATATGATACTCGTTTGAATTATATCAAGCATACGCATTTATTTTTTTTTTACTCAGCTAACACTCGATATTATGGTTCGATCATGACGCGCAAATATTGTCGCAAATAAACAGCGTTCGATAAGAGGTCAGCTAATCTATTTGCGGGAGATTTATATGTATGTATATATATGTGCAGGCAGGCAAACACACACACACACACACACACACACACGTACAAAATGCATATGTACAGACTGTTTCTTAAAATTTACTAGTGAAATTAAATAAAATTACTTTCAAAAATACTCTGCACACATACACTTCTACATTACGTAGTGAATGCAGATATACATAAATATACATACTTACATAATATAAATAAATGCATATGCGATATCCTGTTTATTTCACACGAGATATCGCACAAAATGCACCGGAGACGAATGTATAATATAAAAATTATATATAAGATTACATATTTTGCTCCAAATGTATTTATTGAAATGTATTTACTCATGTGTAAATAAAAACGTGCCGAGCCGCCTAATCCTACACTGAGAACTTGCTTGTTGAAAATTACTTACACACCGAGTCGCTAATCCGAGTTTTCTTTTCGTCAAGTCTCTCTTTCTTTTTCACACTTCTATATTCCGTCCATATCGCATGTAAGCGCGAAAACGCATGTCGTTGTCGAACACCGCGGATAATATATTTTACTGTACGCGCGATTTATAATACGATGGAATAATGTAAAACAACACACAGATTGTTTATATGTATATATTATTTGGATATATACACTCTGTGCATTTTACTATAATTAATAATGTATATTTTTTTGACAAATTAAGTAGAACTGAGAATGATCGAGCATAATGATGTCGAGTTCATTGAAAAATTCTCTTATTTTTCCACTTCCGTGTAATTTTAAACATAATCTCATCTTCAGAATGCACGTGAAAAAATTTCAGACATGCTGTGTTTCTATCAGGTGATAAAATAATTCGATCGGCGAATCATTGAACGATACTTGTAGATCCGGCAAATTCAAAGCGCAAATACTTGACAGAACGGGTTCAAACGCACGGCGAGAAGATCAACGTGCAAAATATAGTATATATACCGGTGAGAAGGAGAGTCGGCTAACACCAGCCGGCTGACTGTAGCTACGTCACTGACTGGAAAAGCAATAGTTTAGTCTGGTTTAGTCATCGCAATCTACGACGCTTAGGTAAGCTCACCCAGTCCGCGTATCGACGTTCTCCACGAACGTGCACATCGCGCGAACTTTGCACATCTTATTACATTCTGTACTTGTCTTGTACATTCAAGTGGACAGGGTACGCATTGACGAAGAGATGCCGGTGAAGATGAATTGGCCCATGCTGATGGCGACGATCTCCCCTAATGTTGGCGGCTGGATCGGCGGCTTCATCACTAGAAAGAATATCAACTGGTACGAGGTGAGGCAAATGCAACGTCACATGCAAGTGCGTCAACGAGATTAAGTACCTGAGATTGTCGCGGAACTTTCCGCGAGATGAGAAATTGAAGAGAAACACGCCGTTTGATTGGAAGAATATATTACGTCGGATATTATGCATCTTTTTCTGCAGAATCTAAATATAAACTCGCGGAAACGTTTGTAGGCGAAGGTCGTCCGATATGCGCGAATCAATACGCGAGTGACTCGCGAAATGGAATATATGGCATTACCTGGATCATTCGATCAGTTTTGCTTCAGTATGAAAAATCGGGGCCTGTGCCCCGATGGATCTTCATAACGAGAATCATTACGGCAACACTAGTGTTTATAATTGCTCGCAATTACATTTCTTTGTAGTCTGATTTATAATTTCTGATTACAATTAAAATTTTATGGTCATATATATAATAAATATATATTATCATTTATATTTAAAAATTCTAACTGCACGTGTTTATCTAATTTTACGTAACTGTATGTTAATCGTAATTATAATACCTTAGAGTTGCGTATTTAGCGTTATAATTATTACAATTACAGTTGTTCGTAATGTGCGCGATTACATCTAATGTAAACTCCAGCAGATGGACGAAAAACACTTGACCGAGAATTGTATTTATAGTCAGTAATCACAGCAAATAATCCCGCGAATTTCTAATTATCTAGTATCAATTCGGTTACTTTCTTTAAGAATTCATAGCCCTCATACGATTTCTGTTTCAAAAAAGCTCGGAAATATATTTCATATAGCTTTTCTTGATGACGCGTTTTTCTGTTATCTTGATGTCTACGTAATCTCTTCAGTACAGTCTTAAAAAAAAGAACTACAAACTTCTCAGGCTTACGTCCATCTACAAACGAAAGAAAAGATTTTAATAAACATGCATTCTAAAATAATCTAAAGTCTATACTTATGGAGATATAAAGTAATGGTAGAAATTCAGTCGAGCCGTACAGAGGATCTGTCTTATTGGATTTAAATTTGAATTTAAAAGCAATTTGAAGCTTATTTAACGATGTAATAAACAAGATCTAGTGACTATGAATATCGCTAATAAATATTTAAACAACAATTCAAGTAGAGATTCATAAATCACTGGAAAGAACTCAGCAATAATGTATGACTACAAATAATTAATTATGCTTATGTAACCGGTGATTGAGGGCAGTCTATGATTATTTCCGACCGTGAGTATCGCTTTAAAGGATATGTAAAGAAGGTTTTCAAATATTCAAGAGAAAATCAGCGATCAGAGGTATTCGCTGTTTCTCTCAGATATTTGCTTTTTGCCGCAAAGTAAGCGCTGATACGTTATCTCGGGATACTTTTATTTCGCTTACACAAAATCTCTTTTCGCGAGAGAAAGAGAAAGAAGACTTAACTTAAAGAAACGGCCAAGCAGCACGGTTGTACCTACCGTCAATCGCGGAAATGCTCAAGTGTGTTTACAATAAATTACACCTTACCGCTAATGATATAATAACACGTAATATATCGCTTTTTGTACGTATAGATGTGTCCGCCGCTTATTTCTCCGCCATTCTCTCTCGTTCCAGACGCTAAAAAAGCCGAAATTTATCCCGCCGAATTGGGTATTCGCGCCCGTGTGGACCACCCTCTACTGTACAATGGGCTACTCGTCGTACCTCGTGTGGCGAGACGGGGGTGGCTTCGAGGGGGCGGCCGTACCGCTCAGCGTTTACGGCCTTAATCTCGCCCTCAACTGGTCGTGGACGCCGCTGTTCTTCGGGGCTCGCAACATAAAATGGGTATTACATCGTATTACATACACATACACACGCGCGCGCACGCATACATTAATCGTAAATCTCCGGGACCGTTCGAGTGTTTTCCGTGTATGTAATAATAAATTTATCATTAATCATAATTGTAAATTTACCATTAATGAGCGCGTTCAAATCGACAAAACAAGTGGCCTGCTCGCCGAGCTCTTGAACATGACCGATTTGTGCTTATAAATCCGATCGCAATCACATTCAATCGGCCGGCGAGCAGCTTCGTTCGCTTGAACATGGCCAATTGTTGCTACATTAATTAATATTGGAAGATATCTGCAATAGATAGATTCACGATAAGATCTTTTCGAGATTCGCATCACTTAAGAATAATACTAAATATTCGGGAATAAATGTGACTAGTGAAAATAGAGAAACTAGAAATTAATTTCATTTTTAGTTTCAATGATAATTACGAAGAAGGCTTCTATTTTTTTCAAATCGACTTAAATCCATATTTCTAGAAACAAAATTACATATAATTAATAGAACTTTATAAGAATCTTCAGATAATATATAATCTTTTTTTAAATATGCAATAGTTTCTTTTTAGTTAAGACAATGCACGAATCGCTTGAACGATCCCTGAATCTTACAATGATTTTGGACCGAAGCGAGTTTAGGGATTGCTTTGGATGCGATTAAATCCAACTTTCGTAAAAACTTGCATTCAACTGAAAACGCGTTTTGTTTTTTTTTATTGTTACATAATAGATTTACTGAAAAATAAGTTCTATATAATAACTTTCCAGTGTACTTTTAGCTGAATTTTTAAAACAAGAATGAATCGAGCATAAGTGTGATATCCATAGATTTTCGATAGCCTGTTCTTTCTCGCGCTTTCATCAAACTTCAAATATGTGTCTACTTCAATTTGAGTACGAGTTTTGAGTACATATTTTGAGTACACTACTTCAGCTGTAAAAAAAAACAAATCTTTATAAAGTGATTTATAAATAATTTTATAAATCACTTTTGTATTAACAGGCGACAGAATCAAGCATCATTAAGCGTTTTTGGGACGATCCTAACTCCGCCTCGGTCGAAAATGTTACTAAAACTATCGTTTTTCCGTGCACAGGCTCTCTACGAAATTGCGGCGTTGTGGGTCAGCACGGCGGCGGTCGGGGTCGTGTTCTACCACGTCAGTCCCGCTGCCGGCTATCTCATCATCCCCTACGTCGTGTGGAACTCTTTCGCCGCGGCATTTAATTACTTTATCTATCGGGACAACAAACAGCTTCCTGCCGTCGAGAAAGCCGAGGGAAAGAAGCACTAAGAAAATTTTTATTTAGCAAAGAAACGAATAGAGAGAAGGAAAAAAATAGAGAGACAGAGAGAGAGAGAGAGAGAGACACAGACACCACTCTGTGATGTCTGCTTAGAAAGCCAGCTTTTGGTGTCAAAAGAGCATTCCTCACGAGACTAATGCTAATGGTGGGCTTAACGAGTACTTTGAATCAGAGATTTGAGTATATAAAAATCGAGTATTCGCACATATCTATCTCTGTTAAAAGAGACACTTTATGAAAGCGATGAAAAGAGGAATATATCGCCGCAAAGTATTTCAGAAACCTATTGCTTTCTTGACTTATATTAGTATAGCATATCGAACGAAACACTTTGTGGCAATGTCTTTTTTTTTCCTTTTTTTCCCATGTAAAGTTATTTAAAAAAAAAAGATGCGAAACTACTCGTTATTCAAAGGCGTTGAAAAACTTGGTATTCTGGCATCGACATGGATAAGCTTAGCTTATCGATTGGCTATGCTTTTTTTTTTTTTTAAGTCAAAGAGATAATCGAATGCCCATCATTCACCCTTTTACTTTCGTACAATCGTCGTTATGGACCACTTCAGTCGTCGGGTTCGACGAGACGTGCCTTTGCATTGAACGCACAACGCCGTTAGTATACACATGTTTATTGATCGATATACGAAATAAAGATTAGCTAACCGACCACGTGTACGTACATTATACAGTGTAATATCTTAAATGTACTAAGCTTTAATAAATCATATAAAGTAACCTGGGAGGAGGATGGTTGAGGGGGAGGGGGGGGACAGATGATGTGGACAGGAGACTTTCGTTTTCTTCGCTGTCTATCCTATTCCGCGTGGAAACTACGGAGCCTTCTTGCGAATTAATTAGCCTCGGTAAAGTTAATTGTGTCAGCCGCGCGAATTTGGAAAGCTCCCGCCTTCGTTCTTCGAGCTGCGATCTCTGCGTCAATCTCGCCTTTTGTACAGAATAGGGCAGAATATATTACACAAGAGCGATATCGAGTACGATGGTAAGGGCGGCTGCTCGGGCGGGATTTCTTCTAGGCGGCTGTCGCCACCGCATTCAGCTGCCATGTTTCACAAGCGCTACGTGGGTTCGGTTGCGTAGATGTAGCCTTGCTGTTGTAGCACGTACAGTCGCTTTTCTACCGCCTCTTTGTCTGAAATCAGTAGCAAAACCGTGATCGTAGAATTGTGAACGATAGAATGCGATAGAATCAAACAAATATTATGTTGGTGAAATAATCTAGTTTTATTTTCAATTATTAAATTAGAATAATTCAATTATAATAAGCGAAAAAAGGGACTTAATAAATTATTTGTTACACAATGTGTAAGTAAACTACGATTGGCAAGTTAAATTGGTAAATTAATATTAAATTGATGTAAATTAAAAAATAATAAAAAAAAAAAGAATTGATTTCTTTACGAAAGTCAATCAGCGCGCAGACAAGTACGTACATTTGATAAGTAGAGCTCGGTCCTGGCTGTGACTGACGTGCTGCGCTAATGAATGCAGTAATATCTGTGCCGTGTGATATCGCTGGAAACATTCGCCGCCTTTTCCGAACAGCTCGTCCAATGCCGCTGATTGACACTGTAAAAGCAATCATATCAAATACTTCGAACATTACGTCAATGTCGATTACATTACATTCGTTTGTTAATTAACTAAAAATATAACAGACGTATATTCAATTTTTGAATTAAAAAATCAGAGACGATAAGCGTTTAAAATTAAAAAAAATGCAGAGTTATTTTGGTACCATATGAATCGCGTGATTGTACAGTATCTTGTCCGCCGTGGCCCCTGTTTGACGAAGAAGTCCCACGCTGTTTAGCTGCTTGCATTCCGTCAAACATACCTTGAATTTCTCGTTCATAGTACTGACAACTGCAATATTTAAAAAAAAATTAATTTAAATATCATTTATATGTCACATATGCTAACTTTAAATTTAATTAAATGGACCGTACATGTCAAGTGGTGCCTACTGCAAATATTTTTAAATATTTAAAAGTAAAGAAATTAGTGAGGATATAGAGATATTATTGTTGAATACATAAAAATAGGCAACGAGGGATAACGAAATTCCAGCCGATCTTTTCGAGGAAATATTAATTAGAAAAATAAGAGTCTATTGAATCTTGTGTAAGCACAATAACGGGGACTCTACCATCTTTCACAGTAGTTGTTGGTTGTAGCCGTCCAGCTTTGAGTTCCTGAGTGGCCAGATTCAGACCGGAGCTGAGCCACTGAAGGGCTCGTACCAGAAGGATGACCTGCTCGGCACGCTTCCTGGTCGCCGCATTGCCAGCCTGTTCGATGCTGCCGAGAGGCGCCGGTTGCTCGATATTGCCGAGCGGGCCAGCCCTGGATCTGGCGACCTCGCATACGCATTCGCACAATGCCACGACGAAATTCAACTTGGCCAGGATCTCGTTGTGCTCGCGCTCCATCAGCGTCTCCTCCGGTAGCTCTGGCGCGATGAACGTTAATGGACGATCGTCGATTGTCGTCGGCGGTATATCCGGAAAGAGACTTTGGAAACTGCCGGCTTCTATAAACGAGATAAACAATTACACTTAGTCATTAAAATTATTTATAAGAGAAAATAACGATTTGTAAAACGATTCTCTTCTTGTATTTACCTAATTATGACATATACTTTCGGGGAATGAAATGTCAATCAAAGTGAAATGATCAGAGTGCCTATTACGTGAGATACATTCTGTACATTCCATAATTGCAAATCTCAATTGCTCTGTTAGATCTTTTGACAATGGCCAAAAAATTACCAGATATTTCCGGAAGAGTGACGGCCCTAGTGCCGAATGGTATGACAGGCGAATGCCTAAGAGTATTGTTGTTGTCTTGAAAAGCTCGCGAGGTGGGCGAGCCGAGCACCGCTAGCGGACCTGTGAGCAGCGGCGACGATGCGCTGTTATTGCCCGTGGAACGCCGCAACGGTGAGGTTCCACTTGGCGTGTGCGAATGCCTCGCCACAGGGCTGACCTGCCATGTGTTGGGCGGCGGTGGAGTCTCGCTTAACCTAATTGTTGATAAATTAGCTTTACATCTTAGCTTTATTTCATGCTTTTTTGTTTCCAAAAGCCTGGACCTTTAATTTAAAAAATAATAATTTCGATGAAAATTTACAAACGAAAGATTCAATACAATTTTTAGTAAAAGAAATAAATTTTAATAAACGTATAGCAATTATTTGAGATTAGCACATTGTTAATTGTTATATCATGAGTCCATGGATTGGTTTACTCCATCGACAATATGTAAAACAATTAAATGAAAGGCTCAGTCTATTTTATCAATGTAGATTAACTTTTATCTCGATTTAATTTACTCTTCATTTTTTCTAATCTTTAAAACACTAGAAAAAAAAGTAAATTGAACCGAGATTAAAGTTAATTGTGGAGATCTTGACAGCTTTATTGAATAACTGGGTTTAAATCACAAAAATGTCAAAATTCTAACTTCCCTATAACTGTACTTGTTGCACTCGATCTTTCATCGTAACACACGCACGCTTCTTTCCATCAAAAAATAAGCTGTTTTCGTCGCCCACGTAAATATCGTCCCTTTCTTATTTTCGCCAGCACAGCTCGGATGACTAATAACTTTGAAGAAAAATTAAAGAGACTAATAAACTTAAAGAAAAATTTAACTTCGTAATCTCCAAACAAATAACAATTGGCTAAATAATATAATTAACTTCTTTACATTAATCCACATTGATAAAAATGGACATTAATAAAATAAATTATAAGGTCTTTAAAATTTCTATCAAAATATATACATGATTAATTAATGAAAATCAATTGTCTTTTTCTCGTCAGTAATTTTCAATTTCATTTTAATTTGGGAGACAACAGAACTCCATAATTTAGATTATTTAAGAATTCGTAAAGAAAAAAAATCTTTGACGATTTGAACTCGTTCGAGGACACATCCGTTACCTTCTACCGGGCGGAGTGCCGATGACAAACTGCACGCTGGGCGGACTGAGGGAGCCGATGCTTGGTGGATGATTTCTGGAGTCAACGCTGCGTTTCATACTAATCGGTTGTGAGCGGGGCACGACGCTGCTGCCGGAACGGGCAGCATTCGTCGAGGGAGATTGCGGCTGTTGCTGAGTCGCTACGTTCCGTTGACATGGAACGGGAATCGGCTCAGAAATCGGTAGGTAGCATGGTCTGGGCGGACTGATGGCTTCCCTGCTCGTCTGTCTGGTATATCTAGTGGATAGTCGTAGAAAAATAATACGATAATATACGACAATAATGATAATGGAAATAATTATAATTGAATTGATGTCTAAAAAGTTTGCAGTTCTATTAAAGTAAACATAAATTCAAAAAGTAATAAAATGTCACGTACTCGCCCAATTTCGATAAGCACGGCCGAGGCGGACTGACAGCTTCCCTACTCACTTGTTTGGTATATCTGAAAAATAATTAGGTAAATGTAAAACAAATATTCAAATAAAATATTTTATATCTAAATAACAAAGATATAAATCTAAAGATATAAAAATATTTAAAAATTAGAAAATCAGTTTTATAAAAGATATTTCAATTTCTTCCGATTATTATTAAAACTTTTACACAACACTTTAACTAACACTTGTGTTTGTTCCTTTCAGATCATCTATTGCACTTACTTGACTGATGGATTATTGTCAGTATCACTACTGATGTCGCTCGGCACAAGGACGAAGTCATCCTCGGGACTAGAGCAAGGAGTTTCCGTCGTCTCGGGTTCCATTCTGTTGACAATCGGAGTTCCTTCCTCGATCGGAATTGCCATTGTCCCCGGTGACGCTGGCAGTTCGGTAGGCACGGGACTTGGACTCGGACTTTCTCGGACACCCATGAGGAACGGGTGACCGAAGAATTGGTCGAAATCCATACGATCGGTCGCTTCGCGCCTCAGCAGGCCCATCAAGAGATTCGTTAATTCTGGTGATGTTCCAGGCGGTATACTAAAACAAGGGACATCATTTTTTTTTCAATGTAAAAAAAAATTAAGTTTTAAAAAAATCAGATTAAAAAATTAAAGGAAAAGCCAGTATTAGATATCAATATATGCGCAACAACAAAAATATAACAAGTTCGCTGTTTTACAAAGAAATATTTCAATCTATAATTCAGATCTTTTTCCATCCAATTTCAATATAAATTAAATATAATGATGTTATTGTAAGAAGATAAAAAAACTCTTATTAGGCATTAGATAATTTTGTACCTAGGAACAAGATTCACAGTGTTCTCGTAGATCGACTTGAGTGCATGAGGATTGTTTGCGGGATGTGGTGCCTTTCCGGTGAGACATTGGTACAATATAGTTCCAACCGACCACAAATCCGCCTTAGCGTCGTACTGAAGAGACATAATAACTTCGGGCGCCATGTACATCGGCGATCCACACAAAGTCGCAGCCATCACGCCTTCCTGCAAGAACCTAGCGAAACCAAAATCCGCTGAAACAAAAAAAAATGCATTAGAGGAATCAATTCTAAGAATCAAACTAAAAATGGAGAAATAAAAAACGTTCTTACCTATTTTCAATGTTATTTCATGTGGCTGTGGACAGGCTTTGCCACAGTTGTGATTCAATAGGATATTCTGTGGCTTCAGATCTCTGTGGACTATCCCTTTAGCGTGCAGTACCTTCATCGCGCGAACCAATTGCTTGAGGAACAGCCTGATGGTGTCCTCGGAAAGAGTACCTTTCGCTATTAGAAAGACACAAATTGTTCATGCATAAAATAATTATTCCCTCTACGACGTATTAAAGTTGCATTATATATATTTTTATTTGATTCGATTGTAATCTTTTTAAATTTGTTGTGTGTGCTCACCATTTAAATAATCTCCCAAATCTCCACCGTTGCAATATTCCATAACCAGGAAGACATTATGATTAGATTCCTGAAACGAGAAGATCTCAATTTCAATAATGTTATCATAATATTCACGTTTTCGTAAAGACAATGAGTAACCTTACCTTACAATCGTACAATGCAACAACATTCTCATGATGTAGTTTAGTTAATGCCTGTAAAATAAAGCATAATTTTCTTATAATAAAAATACATAATTATAATACAGTGAACATATTTTTTAATATTTATTAATAAATTATTTCTTGCTTTTTCTCTCCCTTCTGTTTATGCAACTTTTAAAATCTACAAGTATGAAAGGTGTACCTTTAAGATTTTGATCTCCTTTTTCAGTAAATCTTGCGACTTGGCCAAAGTCTTCTTTGTGATACTCTTGATAGCTACTACCAGATTTGGTTTCTACAAAATACAAAGCAGCTGGATGCAATTATTGTTACTCAATAATAATACAGTAAAAATTATTAAATTCTACAATGAAACAAAGTAATCTGAATAAATTTAGAAAAAGATTAATTCAAATTGAATTTTTAAATGTCAGAATACAGATTTCAAAGCTAAAAATAAATTTAATAGACGTTAGATTATCTTACAAGAGACAAGATTTCACAAAGAAATCTCAAACAGGCTCCTTTGTTAAAGTGTGTTAAAGCAACAAAGCTCTATATGAAAAATCTCAGAAACTTATAACAGACATATTTCTAGATTACATTTCTATTAACAAAGAATCCTTTATTCTAGAGTATTGTGCTATGCTATCCAGCTTGATAAAGTTTAACAAAGAAGTTTTAAAGACTCGTAAAATTACTATAGAGAACAATGGAATTTCCAAAAGAAATATATTTATAATAATATATATTAAAGAAAAACGTATATATGTACATAGAAGGGTTTTCTATCAAAATATGTTAATATCTATACATATATACATATACATATGTATATGTATAT